CACAGGTGGAAGAAGAAAGCAGAATAAGGAGGCTCAGTTCCACAGTTTATTGAACCCAGAGGGATTTCTACAAACCACATGGCATCAGGTGTCAAAGAAATGAGGAATGAAAACCAGTGTGGAACAAGGGAGCAGCCCAAAACTCCCTCAGCCCAGCAAAGCTCCAGGAAGGTTGGAGAGGCTTTAACACCCCTTAATGTGAGTGGGCTGGCCATGAGCAGCCTCTCCACCTTGTTCTGTCAGGAGAAATCCTGAGTCATGTCATGGGTGTTCTTGCCTTGGACAGGGAGAATCTGCACGTCCTGTGGAGTCCAGGATCACAGAAGGAGACTGATGAAAGATGGTTCTGGGCTGGGATTTTGGAGAGGTTTGTGCTTGATCCAGGGTTGAAGGGCTGTTGTTTCTCTTTTTCTTGGGGATTGAGCAGGGAGAGGTTACTGAGTCCCTGAACCTTAATGTAACATGATTAGAATCTGGAACAGACTCCAAACCAGACATTTAGGGACTACTAAATGTACAAAGCAGCTTGGATATCTGTCACCAGAGTTTATCCAGTTCTGGAAAAAGCCTCTGAAATGGGCAGTGCTTTAACAAAGTACAGATGTCTGGGGACTCAAAATGCAAGGAAAAATTATGAGGAGGAAGAGATAACACTTTCTCCATTTCTTAGAGAGGAAGAAAATGCCAGAAAGTTATTAATTTTATTCCCAGGACTGTGGTAGCTGGACAAGGATCCAAGGTTAAGGTGATCCCCATGACCTGACACTTGCAGAACAATTGGGCTCCCTGCATCCTGACACGAGGAGTTCTAGGGAGATCTGTAATCCCCAGTAATAACCTCACAGGTTAATTGGTGTCTGGAAATGAGTTTATTAGGTAGGTGGGCTGGAGGGGGTTTAATTACATGTTTAGATCAGCGTTGCTTCAAGCATTAATTTTGCTTGGGAAAGGAAGGTGTAATGTCAGGAGCAACACTTTCACACTGCTTAGATTGAGCCAGGGGGGCTGGAGAGAACCCCTGGACTGTTGGGGAGGATGGGAATGAGCTCTGAGTTAAAGCATCTCTTTGTTGTTTTGGGCCAAAATTCGTGTAAGGCCCAGTTCCCTGAGAATGGCACTCAGTTTTTGGACAGTCAGGCTGTCAGAAGGAATCCCTCTGAAATACACATTAGATTTCTTTTTTTGGGCTTTATTTCTCTTTTCTGCTTTGTGTCATATTCTCCTCATGGCTTTCCAGAGCAGAGTTACTCTTCCACTTGTTCCCTTTTGCCTCCTGCTGAGTCAATTCCTTTCTTTTCCAACATTATTTGTACTGTAGTCACTCCCAGAATCTGGGAAATCATCCTCAGAAGTCTCCCCATCTCCTGAGCTTACTGCCAACTCTCCCACTAAAGCTTTGAATTCTTTGTTATAAAGAAGAATAAAAGGCCAGCAAAGTGCACCTCGACACCCATTCAGGTGCCATTACCCTGTAATTCTTTAAAAACTCTGTGTGCATTTATAGTCACTGGGAAGTGCTGGACTGGGAAGCCTCAGGACTAAATTGGTGTTAGCACATGAAAGAAAGCCAGTCCTGCTTGGGCAGCAGGATCTGGGCAGCTTTGGGCACCAGCTTGCTTGGTGGGCTTGGGACAATAATTCCCTGCCTGTGCCCCTGCTGGCAGTGCCCAGCTCCAGCTGTGGCTGTTGGGATGAGGACACAGCCTGTCCCCAGCCCTGGAGCTGCAGCAGAGCCTGAGCTGAGCAGGGATCATAAACAGGGATGAGAGGAATGCCCAGGCAGCAGGGCAAGGCTCCCAGACACGCTGCCCTGTGAGCATCCTGGAACCCTGGGTGCTGCAAACTGTCTCTGTTCCCAGGCCTTGGCTTCTCTCTGCCAGCCAGCAAAGGGTTCATCACTTCCAAATACAGCAGAGAGGCGAACTGGCAGCTTCCCAGTTCCACTGGGAAATGGGAAATCACCAAACTCACTCTGCAAACTCAAGCTGAGCCTGATCGGACCCTCCATCCTGCCTGCAGCTGTGCCACCTCCCCACAGGTGAAAAGCCCCTTGTGTTTCTGAGCCATCCCATCCCATCCCATCCCATCCCATCCCATCCCATCCCATCCCATCCCACTCTGCTCCAGCCTGCTCCAGTTTGCCAGCAGAGAAATCCATTTTCTCCCCTCCTCCCTTGTTTGAGGAGCTGCAGACACATCCCTTGGCTTTCCCTCTTCTCTGCAGGCTTTTCCAGAGCCCTTTCCTCCCGTTGTTTGCTCGTTCCCTGCACTCCATCCCATCTTTTGCCTCCCTCCCTGCTTGGATACAGCATCTCGCTGGTCCTGCCTCACACTCTGAGCAGGGGTATTAGATGGATTCCCCATAGAGTATAAATTGAATGGAGAGAAGTGGCTGGTTTCCCAGCAATAATTTATCTGATTAAAAAAATACTCCCCAAACTCCCCCTCCTCTGCCAGTCCTACACCCCCTCCAAAAAGCACCATTGGCATCAGGGCTGCTGTTTGAACTGTGTGATTCCAATTGCTGGAAGAGGGATTTAGATGGGAAAATAACTGGCAAAGGATGGTTCTCAGGGGATGTTCAGTGCTGAAATTTGGCACCTGGGTTGTTGTGTGGGGAAGGCAGAGAGTAAATAACTGTGAGTCAGGTACCTGGGTGATTTGTACCTTTGCCCCCACGTGCCCAGCGCCGGATGCACACACGGTGCTCCCACACGTGTCTGCCCAGCACACACCCTGCACAGCAAGCTGCTCCTGCTGCTCCCTCTCTCCTCTTTTCCTCTCTTACCTCAGGGCTGGCTCCAAATAAAAGGAGGAATCTGCCTCGCAAAGGGCATGTCACCTAAAAGAAGGAATCTGCCTCACAAAGTGCATGTCGCCTTGTTTGTTACTTGCAAAGGCTTCATTCTTTCCAAACTATTTTCTTCTCTGACATTCCTGTTGTAATTATGGGATGGAAAAGCCACCCCAAGGCCCCTCTCGGGCAGTGGGTTTGGCTGGTGCCTGTTCCTGTGGGGTGCCAGGCAGGTATTTGCAGGTATTTACATCCCAGTGTTCCCAGAGCACCGGGATTTACAGCAGGGGCTCCCGGTGCTGTCAGGGCAGCGCTGCTGCTGCCACCTGAGTGTCTGCAAACCTTCCCAGGGCTGCTGGACATCCCTCTGCTCACAGCTCCTTCTGGCCACTGGGTGGAACGGGAACGGGCCCTGCTGGAGCTTTTCAGCCCAGAGCACCCGCAGGCCAGTGGCCAGGGCTCAGGTTTCCAGCGTTTGACAGGAGGGCTGCTCTGATGAAACCTCTCTCTGCTCCTTCTGGAGGATTTACACTGCCACAAGTCCTCATTTTTTCCAGATGTTTTACCTAATAAATCAAGGAGTCTCATCAGAGGACTGGCATCCAAAAGCTGTTACCATGACTTCAAAGGCACAGGCTGGAGTGGAAAGAAGTGGTGCAGACATTTTATACCACTCTGTATGATCATGAAAATACACTCTGCTCCCAGGATTTTTTTGCTGTGGATACAAGAACTCCAGCCATGATTAAATAAAATGGTGCTGTGCTCCTTCAGCCAACCTTTGCTGAAAAGAATGGAGCTGCAGGAGCCTGAGGCTGTGGGGCTGGCAGGAACCAGGCTGGGGTGGTCCTGCGAGGGGCTGAGCTCTGCCAGCCCCTGTCCAAAATCCTTCAGCATGAACTCAGGGCTGAACTCACTCCATCTTTTCAGATCAATATTCAACTGCATATTTTCTCCCAGTGCTGGTTTAGGCAATTCCCACATAAAGGAATCAGATGTTCATCTTCTTCAGATGTTGGGAGAGAAAAAGATAAAAAGAGTTACATGGCTGTAAAATGTGATTGTGACTATTCAGACCAGTTTGTTCCTTGATCAAGAATGTAACTTTTTTTTTTTTTTTTTTTTTTTTTGCTGTAGTGAAGGCTTTTTACAGTGTCTACATGGTGTCATTTTCTTTTGCTGTTCCATTTCTAAAGATAACTGTGTTTGGAGAAGCTGTTACGTGTTTCTGTCACTCCATAGCACAGGGTGCTGCAGGAGACAGAATGAAGAAAAGCAGCTGAAGAAAGGAAAGCTGATCCTCTGGTGGGTGAGCAGCAGGCCCACAGGGTTGGCTTTTGGTTCCCCCCTTTCCCAGAGCACTGGCCTGGCATCAGAGATGCCTCAGCTCCTCACCCTCTGCCTTGTCTTCCATTGGATCCTGTTGGATTTGGAATCACAGAATGGGTTGGGAGGGACCTTAAAGCTCATCCAGCTTCACCCCCTGCCAAGGGACACCTTCCACTGTCCCAGGCTGCTCCAAGCCCCGTCCAACCTGGCCTTGGACACTTCAGGGATCCAGGGGCAGCCCCAGCTTTGTGTCCCCTGCCTGCTCAGTGCTGCAGGGCTGAGGGCAGGGTGCAGGCAGGGCCAGGCTGCTGGGGGCAGGAGCACAGGGTTCCTGCTTGTGGGGAGCCCCCCAGCACGGACTGAGGGGCCCAGGTCGAGGGTTCAGTTTCAGGAGAGGTTTTGGGCTTCCCCTTTCACATGGCTGAAGCACAGCCATGGAGGGGAGGCTCTCACAACCTCCTGGGGGTACCTGCAGCAGGTGAGGTGAGCAGAGACCTTGGCTTGTGCTGCCTCAGGATTCTGGGGTGTAAATAAGTTATCACTTAACAACAGTGGGAATTGTAGCACTTGGAGTTCAGGGGAAATCCTGTGCACCCCCAGTAGACACTGTAGTTATGTAAAACACACTTAGGACATTAATTCACTGTATTTTGTCTGTTTTATGTGTCCCAGGCAGTGGGGAGCAAGAGGGCATTTGGTTCTGCAGGATGTTTAACCACATCTGAAAGCCTCACCATGGAAGTTCAGGAAGAGGTGATGTCCCACTGCAGCCAGGTGGAAGGGAGCACCAGGTGCAGATCTCCTGTGTTCTCATGGTATGTTCAGACTGAAAAATACCCTCATCTAAGTACTAATATTCAAATAACAGTCACTACAAATCCATTTATTCCTGCCACAGACTTCAGAAAAATTGCTGCTTGTCTTCCCTCCCCCACGAGGCTGAGTCCCAGCACCCCAGATTGTCGTGACTGCCTGGGATTGGTGACATCTCCAGTGAAATGTGTTGGAGCATCAAAACAGAGTGGGAGAAGCACAGCCTGGCTCTGGGAGCCAAAAATAGGTACTATCACTTGTGAGCTGAAGCCTCCCTTCTCCTTCCCCACCCAGCCCTTCCTCCCTGGCACGTGCAGCACATAATCATGGTGTTCCCATCAGACCAAAGGAAAACCTTCCTAAACATTCCTAAAGCAAGCAGGGCATGAAGTGGTGGCCGTGCTTTGGAGGCAGAGAATGTTAGGACATGGATTCTAAATTAGGGAACATCAGTGGTGATGGTTTGCAGATTTTCTGTGGGGAATGGGTGTAGAAAAGAGCATGGCTCATCTCCTGCAGTGCCATGTGGAAAAGCATCAGAGCTACACCATAAAATGGGGAGCTTGAATTCCCTTCATTGCACAGTTGCTCAAATCCTTGTAATTGAATGAGTGAGTGATGAATGTAGCACATTGAATTTCTCCCTGGATCCTTTCTCTCCTTTATTCTGTGACTGTGAATCTCAGTCATGCTTTCACCTGTTTTTTTAAGTCTGTCCATTGGAGTATTTGTCCGCTTCTGCCAAACCCTAAAAGCTCCATTTCATTAAAAAAAAGAGATCATTTGGGAAGGGTGAAGTTTGATTCACAAAGATAATGCTCTTTGAAGGTGTCTGCTCCTTTGGCAGTGACTGATTCAAAGCAGTTCCATTTCAGAATGTCTGTTCTGCTGCTCCCAAGGCTGCCCAGAGGAGGAGGGATTGTGAGAGGCCATATAAATCAGGGGCTGTTACAGGGATGTCAAACACAACTGCACCACGGGGTGCTAATGGTGAGCAGGTGAGGAGTCAGAGCAAGTCAGAACCAAAGAAGAAAAGCCACAAAGCTCCTGTGTCTGGTTCTTGATGCTTCCCAAAAGTGCAGTGTCTGCACACTGCTGTCTGTCCTGGGAAAAGCGCAGGCTGCTCCTCTGATCCGTATCACGATTTCAAAGTGCTCCAGTAATTGGATGAGTAGGTTTGGTGGGAACATCTTTGGTTCTCAATTCTCCCATCAGGAAAGATCTAAATGAAGCTATGTGAGCACACCTTCAGCCCAGGCTGTTTTCCCATGTCAGTCCTCTGGATTTGTGCTCACCTGAAGCAGTGGTGACCAGGCCACTGGACACACAACAAGGGACCTGTTGGATTAAACTTCCACTGCAAGAAAACTCACAATCTTTGTGCATGCAAACAGGAGTTTCCCCCTTTTCCAGCAGCAGTTAAATCCCAAAGCTCTGACTCCAGTGAGTTCCTGAGTGCTGGAGTAAGAATTAATTTGGGATCTTGGTGTGCAGCTTTTGGAGAAGGGGCCAGTGCTTGTGCTTTCCCCCTTCCTCAATCCCATGAGCATTCCAGGTTTCCAGAGGTTCCAGCTGGCTCTTTCCATGCAGACTCAGGCTGTGTGATGGACCCTGAGGTTTGTGGGCACAGAGCAAGGGGAATGCCATGGGGGAACAGTTTTCTCTCCCACAATGATGGTGTGATCTTCACAGCTTCCCAAACGCCTGTTAGTCCAGGAGAGAAGCTGATAGAGCTTTAAACCAGGCCATGAGACTGGCGGTGTACAGAAGGACCTGAGGCTGGTGGAAGGTTTCAGGGAAGGGTTGTGAGCCAGGATCATGGATGACCATGTTGGACAGGCTGTGCCTGTGCATGTCCCTGCGAGCACATTCCACCGTGGTTTCTGCACCAGTTTTGGTTATTTCTCAATATTCCCACTAATATTTTGTGTATTTATCTTGGCTGTGGGGAATTTCAGCAGTCAAAGTGCTGACTCTGATGTCCTTCTGGGACATTGGCTTGGGACAACCCAAAGGTTTTGTGTGGGCCTGCAAAAAATGTTCTGCCCACTGGTCTCCAATCCCAAGAACATTCCTGTTTTCTCTGCAGATCCTTATGCACAGCACTGATAGAAAGATTACATTTGTGTAGAGGAATAACCCAACAATTACAAATATTATTTATTTTCCAGGACTTCTGGGGCACTAGAATGATGGGACAGGAAGGAATGAGGTGCAGCTGGGTAACTCCAAATCCCTCCCAGTGGGGTTTGTGTCTCCCTTCCAAATCAGGCCAAGCAGAACCTGCTCCTCCTCCTCAGTCAAGGGAGTGTGTGAGGAAGTGGGAGCTGAGAGAAAGGGGAATGTTGGCTGTTGTCCTCTGGAAGGTTTTAATGATCTTTAGCTTCCACATAGAAAGAGGCTCCTTCTGGTACAAGGAGAGCTCCTCACTTGAGAAACAAAATCAAGGTCAGCTGCAGCCCTGGAGCCTGACATTTACCTTTCTCAAGCATCTCACATCTCTCTGGACCCCAGGGTTAGATGGGATATTGGGAAGAAATTCCTCCCTGTGAGGGTGGGCAGGCCCTGGCACAGGGTGCCCAGAGCAGCTATGGCTGCCCCTGCTTCCCTGGCAGTGCCCAAGGCCAGGTTGGGCAGGGCTGGGAGCAATCTGGGATAGTGGGAGCTGTCCCTGCCATGGCAGGGGGTGGAATGAGATGAACTTTAATGTCCCTTCCAACTCAAACCATTCTGGGATTCTGTGAATCCTCTCAGTGCCCTCAGGCTGACCCTGTTATTTGATATCCTCTTTCACTTTACTTTAGTTGAAAAATGAAGATTTTTTGTGCTGTACCTTCCACCCTGGCTCTTGAAAAGTTTAGCAGTGACACTGGGGATCACCATGGAAGTGTTGCTGCTCTCCACTGGAAAAACAAGGGACATGTAAGGCTGCATGCAAGCAGAGTCTGAAGTGAAATGTACACAAAATTTACAAAATCATGATCCTGGAAAACCTGCTGTTGGCTTTCCCTGCTGCAGGAGCTGCCTGTGCAAGGCAGATTTAACCCTCAGTGTTTAACTTCTTCCTCTGCCATCTCCAAGCACTTGAAGGGATGTCATCCCAGACAGACCTTTCCTGCTGACAAGACTGACTGGTATTTCTCCCTAAAACACTTGGATCAAAATGGCCTCAGTCTGGTGGCAGAGGGCAGGAGCTGCTTCTGCTGGGCTGCCCATGTGTCCCATGGCTGGAGCAGCCCAGTCCCCAAAGCCAGCTCGTGTCTCTTTACCTGCTCTTGAAAAGGCCAAATGACCCCAAGTCCCCTGTCCAGGAAGTATCCCATGCTCAAGGTCAGCCCTGGAATTCCTCTTAAAGTTCCTTTGAGGGCCCTTGCTCTGCACCTCTTGGGAACAAGGAGGATTCCCATGATTTATCAACATCTCCTGCCCAGGGGTTTGTGTGTTAACTCTGAGTGCCATCATCACCTCATGTCAGTTTGGGGCACCAGGGAGTCCCAAACCACACTGCAAACAGGGCAGGGGGCACAGATGGAGATGAGCAATTTGGAGTTAAACAGTCTCAATTATTTAGGGAATTCACATCCTCACAGCCAGAGCAGTAAAGACAGAGAGGTGTCACATCAGGGTGCTCAGAGTGGGATGGGGAGAGCAAAACTACACCCAGCTAAGCCTGTAAGTCAAGACTAAACTGTCTCTAATTGCAGCCAGGTGAAACACTCGAGTAGACAGTCTGCAAGTGCTTTAGAAAAAGTGGAAAGCAAAAGCTTTTTGTACAAGCATTAATCTTGGTGCCTCACTGGGGTCAGCTGGGAGTGCAAGGAGAGAATTCAGCGCAGTCAGCACCAGGCTGTAAAGATCTATGTCCAGCTTTGCATTTCATTCTGTTTATCTGGGCTATTAATTAGCTCCTTTCAGCTTCCCTGGGAAGATCTGTGTGCTAGGGCTCCTGAACACTCATAAAGATCTCTCATTGATTGCTTGGGCAGCTAAATTGGGTCGACACCTCTCCACTCAGAGATGTCTTAACTTTGCATCCTTTTCTGCTGGGCAGGAATACTGGGCATGACTTCAACCTTCTCAGAACCCTCTTGTACACATTGCTTTCCTAATTTCATCCTAGGTATGGCATTTCCATTACAAAGGAGTTGTGTTGTTGAGCTCTGCTGGTCTGGGTCTTTCAATAGCTGATCAGAGCTTCTGGTCATGTGCTTGTGCTCTTTTCCCTGAGAACAAAACATCCTCTACACAGATCCTGGACTATCAAAGCCCCCAGAACAGTTCAAGTGCCAAACACAACCCCAACAGCAGCCTGAGAAATGATGTCTCCCAGTGGGGCTGTTGAATATGCACAAACGTATGGTCTGTTTTCCAACGTGCCTGTCAGAGCCCTGCTGCTGCCTCCAGCAGAGAAAAATATTTGTCATAGGCCATTTCCCCCCAAACTTTACTGCTTGCAGGAAATAGAGAATGTTCTTTTCCAACATATTTATTTGTGTTTCACTGTAATCACAAAGGGTTGTGTTTTCCCCCTTTCTCTGGTGACCCAGCAGGGTCCACTGCTGGCAGTTCTGTCACTATCTCTCACAGAGCTCTAAGCCTTTTCACCCTTTCCTCTGCTGTCAGCTGCACTCCAGGTAACAATTCCATACAGGAGATGAGCTGTAAGGTGGGTGTTTTCCTTTCAGATTTACTGAAAATTCCATACGGGAGATGAGCTTTGAGGTGGGTGTTCTCATTTCAGATTTACTGAGCACCCTGTGCAGGTTTTCCTGTTTTTTAAAATCCCCATTCTCCTGTTCAGGTACCTGGGGAAGGTGTTCTGATGTGAACAAGGCTTTCCAACACAACTGTAAATGCTGCTAATTTTAACCACCATCTCTTTTACTGTCTGTGTTTTCCCATCCATTGAACAAAGGAGCTCTTTGGTCAGAGGGAAATCCTCATTGTGGGAGTGACTTAGAGCAGTGTCACTGCTCAATCCCCAAAGTCTGTGTGTAGCTTTTTGTTGGGGTTAATTAAGTTCCCAGAAGTTTGTAAGTTGGTGTACAACTTGAATATTCACTTATCTTTGTGGTTTGGACCCTCCTGCTGCAGTGTCACCCCACCCAGGAACTCCAGACAGGGATTTTGTGCATGTTCCAGGCTGTGTTGGCATTCTCACATTCTTGATCACAGAATCCCAGAAGTGTTTAGGTTAGAAGGGACCTTTAAGACCACCTTGTTCCACCTCCTGCTGTGTGTGGGAACACCTTCCACTCGCTGTCCAACCTGGCCTTGGACACTTCCAGGGATGGGGCAGCCACAGCTGCTCTGAGCAACCCCTGCCAGGGCCTCAGCACCAAACACAGGCAAGAATTTCTTCCCAATATCCCATCTAAACCTACCCTTTGGTGTCAGTTTTAGGTGAAGTGCAAGATATCTTAGTCACATTTAATGGGACAGGCATCATTCATTTGTCTCAACTGAGAATGAGTGAAACCTTTCATGTGTCAGAACCACCTGTAGCCAGAAGCAAGACCCAGTTTTTCCTCTCCCTGGTGTGGAAACTGCTCACAGCAAGCTCATTGCTCTTGTGTCAGAGTTCCCACTGCTCCCTTCCCACAGCAGGAGCCTTCTGCAGGCACCACTCCCCAGGCACTGCTGTATTCGCCCAAAACTGGATGCAGAACCTAAAAAAAAAAAGAGAGGAGAGAGAGAGTAAGGTAACAGGAGTGGTTTTGAGTTTTTTCTTCCTGATGTCTCTCACTGGTACTTTTAACAGCTTTCTTTTTAAGCTGAACATAATTCATGAACTCTGCTCTTTAGAAAAAACAACAAGACACGTTAACAGCAGTAGTAGCAATAAACACAAAAACAAATGTCAGTCACACCATTCCTTGTGCTCCCCTGTGCTGCCTTCTCCAAAGGCAGTGGTTCCCAGAATGTCCTGGCAGCCTCATGAGTGGTGGATACCACAGTGACACCCCAGAAGGAACAGCTGAGTGCTGGAGGTCAGCAGGAAAACACTGGACTCCCATCTGAAAACACAAACCCAACAGATCACGGACTGAGAGCAGCATGGAAGGGGGTGAGAGGCAGATTGCAGCCCTTTGGGACTGGAAAAACAGGAGATTTGTGAGAAAGCTTTTCTCCCTCTTGTCAAATCTCTGTTATTTGTTACCTGCCTCAGAGGGCTCAGGGCTGAAAAATACCATTGCTTTGCTTCATGGAATCTAAATGTCCACATGATACAGACATAAAGCTCAATTCCTGCTCAGCGCTCACCAAAGGGTTTTGGTCATGGAAGGAGTCTTTTTGAGAAATTGATTTTTGTTGAATACCTACACTTCTGTGCTTTCAGACACTTCTGATAACAACTTCTGATAGCCTGAACATCTTTCTTGACCAGTTCCCCACTTTTAGCAATATAAGTTTGTTCCAAGCATCTGAATTCTCTCCAGTTTTTGGCAGTGATGCTTTTTAGCTGAATTCCTCTGGGAATGTGAAGGCATCTTGCTTGTGCACAAAATGTCCATTGCCTGTATAGCATAAGAGCATTTTCCTCCCATATTTCCCTGTCAGCATGTGCCTTCACTATGGGAGGAGGAGGAAATGCATTTCAACTTTTGGTCCTTCTAAGAGAATCCCTTAAAAATTGTGTATTAGAGCAGAGGGAAGCAGGTGGAGCAACAGCCTGGGCAGCATTTACCCTGTGGTGGTTTCTGGTCACAGGGAACCTGGATCAGCACCTTCACCTCTTCTTGGGGCGGTGCTGTTCAAACCCCACTGATCCCTCATGGAGTCAACTCCCCACCTTTCATTTCCTGCTGCTCCCTCTGCCCCATTCAGTGTCTCTGAAGGCCTTGGTGTCTCTTTGGGACACAGAGTCCCACTGTGACCTCTCAGACACATTTCATATTTCCCAGAATCAATAAGTTCTGCTGCAGTTCCAGGAACAGTCGATGAGTCCCGTCAGGTTCCCTTAGGAGGAACAGAGGAGCAGCCTAAGGATGACATTTCTTAGGGAATGCCACCCAGGCATATTTATTGTTTCAAGTCCTCTGACTTCAGGGCTCAGGCAGGGCCTGCAGCCTGTAGCACTCATGTAATTTGATTTTAAACCGGCCACTGAGGTGCTGAGGGAATAACAGCAGTGGTAGAGCCCCTGTGTGACAGCAGACCCAGCAATCCTGACATGCAGTGCCCAGACCTGTCAGGGAGATCTGAGGGCTCACAGCTCCATCACCCCTGTTCCACATCCCATCAGAGCCCCTGGTTTGCTCTCCTGGCTTTGATCACCAGCCCCCTGGGATGAGCATGGAAAGGTGGGGGAAAAGTGGTGTTTTTGCAGAAGTATTGCCCTCAAGGGATGTTTAAACAACAACAAAAAAAGTGAAATGAATGTCTGTGAGAAGTGTCAGATTGGAGCTTGAGGAGCCAGACTTCACCTGTCTGAAGGCTGCCCTCATTCTCCCTGCCAGAGCTCTCAGTACAGCACCAATCCCTGGCACAAAGTGTGTTCTTTTCCTTTTCCTTTTCCTTTTCCTTTTCCTTTTCCTTTTCCTTTTCCTTTTCCTTTTCCTTTTCCTTTTCCTTTTTTTCCTTTTCCTTTTCCTTTCCCTTTTTTCCTTTTCCTTTTCCTTTTCCCATATTGCTCAGTCCTGTAGCTGAGAAAGAGTCAGACTGTGCTCATGGGGTAAGAGGTTGCATTGGTGACACCAGGAAGGAATGTTGGCTAATTCACCCTGGTTTTAGAGATGCTTAAGAACTGCAAGAAGTTAGAATGATTTTAAAATAAAATGTATGCAGAATGAGTGAATAACTCTGCTTTTAAACCAGGAACTGCTGGGAACAGAAGCCTGTTTCTCTCCTTAGCAAATCATGGCTGCACCCTGCTATTGCTCTCTGGGAAGAGACCTCCATGCTCTCCTCTGACAGATACATCACCAAGGGCTTCTCCAGACTTTTCCAGCATTCCCAGGTGCTGCAGCATAACCTCTCCTGGCAGGAAGGTGATTTGGGAAGCACCATGATCACAGTGTACAGGTCCTGTGGCAAAAGAAATCCCCAGGGCTCCAGGCATCCTTCTGTGGCACACTATGAGCTTGGGATGGAAGCCCTTTGTAAACCAGGTCTTGTTCTGCAAAGTTGAATTTTACAACTGTTCAAGTTTGTCCCTTTGTCAGATAATGTGGTAAAAATGAAGTCCAATATTTCCTCCATGAAAAATCCATTTTATTTATAGGAAATTCCTTCATAGCATTTGAAAGGATGATGAAATTTGTCTGAGCATTCCACTTGGAGGAACCAAAGCCAAAACTATGACTTTAAAGGGCTGTCTGAGAGTGCATGAGCAAGATTATTACAGCAAACAGGACTCTGTCCCTGTCCCAGCTTATTGTCCAATGTCTTTATTCCTTCCTGTTTCTGTGGTTCATTGTCCCTGTCTTCCCTACATCATAGCAGTGACTGATTGAATTGTTGAATTAGTTTTGAATTGTTGAAGTAGCAGACTGAGGTAATTTTGCTCTTATTTATTCTTCCATCACAAGGTTCTAATAGCATTCTGTCTCCAGTTCTGCCATTTAAAGCAGAGGGACACTTCAGCCACCATGTCCAAGCAATGACTCCTGGATTCATTGTTTCTGTATATTCAGTTTAGACACCTAAAATCCCAGTCTGAGATACAGAGCAAAAGGAAGGACACTGTGGGAGTTGTGGGTGTTGACACAACAGCCAAGTCTATTTGGTGCCAGATTTTATGTGTGGACTTGCTCATGTAACTCTGGCTGATCTGTTTGTATCTCTCACAGATAATGAGGCCTTTTATTTCCATTTCCAGGAAACACATGTGATTGCAGCTGTAGGACCCAGCACCTCAGCTGGCCCTTTCAGGTGTCACACAGAAAGGGCCGGGCTGTGCTGCTGCTGGTTCCTGCCATGGGCAGAGAGGTTTGTGAGGTGTGCTGGGATCCCCAGGAGTGATGGGCTGTGTTTTCCAGCATCCTCTGCTGCTGGTCTAAGGTTATTTCTTTGATTTCCCAAGCCCAGAGGCAAATGACCATTTCTGTGTGCTGAGCATCAATTCTTTCCCTTTTGTTCTTCTCCTTTCTCCTCTGCACAGTTTTCCTCTCACTTTGAATTCTCTCAGTCTCACTTCCCCTGGCACAGGAGGAAATGTGATGGTGTTTACAGAGCAGAAGCACTAGGACTCAGGAGATGTGGAAGGTGGCCCTGCTGCTCTACCTGCAACAGCTCTCCATGGTTCTGACCTCCTGTCAGGAACACCTGCACTAAAATCCCTCTGCCTTTTCCTGTGTGATCCTATAGTGTCTAACACAACCTCAGGTAAGACCTTTAGGCACTCCCATTATATGAATGAGAACAAGATTGTTGGTGTCAGTAATTAACATTCTTGTGGGATTGTTGGAAAAGCTTTGGGATAAACACCACCTGGAATCCTTGCCTGGCTTATGTGGTTTTTAAGAAGCAGAGGAGACTGATCCTGCTCGCACGAGAGGGCCTGGACCATCTTTCTCCTCTCTTACTGGATGTGCAGAGTCTGTCAGGCCAAAGATGAGTTGTTGCAGCTCAGGGAGAAGTGGGACATGGAAAAGTGAGGGCATGGTCAGTGTGTCCCCAGTAATGATCTCATCTGAGAACAAGGACTGATGACAACCACCAAAACAGGAAAACACAGTCCCTGTGAGCACCTGTGGCACAGTGTCAGGCCATGACAGGCTTCCAGAGATGAAATCTCACCCTACTGACATGGATGACAAAAATCCCCTTGATTGCAGTAACATCAGCCTCTCCCCTTGGGTGTTATCTGCATTTCTCTCCTTCTGGATACCCAGAGAGCCATATCCCACATCATTATGCACTTCCTGATAACACATGCATAACCCTTTACTTTCAAATTACTGTTTGGATTCCAGTAAGCCCTGCCTTTTGGATTCTAGGTTCCCTCCATCTACCTCTGAAAACCCTAAATAAACAAATATTGGATCAGCAGCTCCCTTGCTCAGCAAGGGAAGCCTTTAAAAGCATTTTACACCAACTGTCCTGTTTGTGTTTCAGACTCTGTCAACCTGGCACTCAAGGAGCTCCAACTTCCTCTCAGCCTTTCCAGGGAACTCACCTCAATGTTTGGAAGGTCTGCTTCCATTTATGACCCTCCCTGATTCCAGTGAGGAGCTGGAACTCCTCATGACCTCAGGAATGACAGAAGTACATGCTGGGGATGGAGGGTTTCTGGCATATGACCTGCTAACCTAGAATTTGCTTGGCAAAGTCCAGAGGATGACTTTTAACCTCAGAGCAGTTTGCAAAACCACATCTGCGACCAATAAATGTAAAAAATAAATGAAAAAATAAATCTAGCTCCTATTGAAGGATGAAAGACAGCGCACCTTGCTAGGCACTGCTGCTGGAATCAGGATGGAGATTGGGAAAAATTGGACAGGCCACGTGCCAGATATCGTCCATGAATGCAGCCAATGCCTCACACAAGGGAGGCAGCACAGCAGGTTAAACTGAAGGTATCTCACAGCTCTAAGTCTTAAACTTAACGAGCCACGTCTTTATTTGTGCTGCAGCCCCTTCTTATCCCAAATTGCCCTTACCAGCTTCCAGAGGATGCCTGGTAACAGAAAATTCTCTGGATAACAATAAATTGGTGTAACGATTGAGTGTCACCTCACATCCTGCTAAGCAATAGAGAAATCACGATGAGAAAAATAGGCACGAGCAGAGTGGCACTGAGCAGTGCAATCCTAATTCCATCACCCTTCTTGTGGGCCACAGATAACCCAGAGCAATTTGCAGCTGCTCTGAAGCGGCTCCAAGTCTCAGCAGGAGTCGGGAAAGCTCCGTGCAGCCTCGGGACTGAGGAGTCACACAGATCAGGGGAGTTGTTGTTCCATAACCTTGCCTCTGCACCAAAACCAGGGGGCTGCTTTGGAATGGGAAGCACTCCAAGCAAAACACAAAATTTTAATCACTGAAATGAGGGTCCTCCTCTGGCTCCCTCTCTGGAGAATAGTCTGTCTCTGGTGATCGTGCACAGACTCCCAAAGAAGGGAAATTTTGGATTTAAATCTCGACGTCAGCGTGTGAATGACAGCGTTAAATCTTGGCTGTAAGGCTGAGATATCTCCAAGAGGAGAAAAACACTTTTTCCACTTAAGTGGCTGAGGTAGAGGAGGTAAATATATTGTCTCCCACTATTAAAGGGCGAGGAAATAATTTATACATGTGTATTACACCTTTGCACCTAACAGTGGAGTTCTTTTTTAAATTCAAGAGCCTAAAAGTTTAGAAATACCAACATTAAGGTGGCCTATGCAACTGTAATTTGTCCCTTCCATGCATTTGCATTATGATAGAGTATTTAATTCTAATTAGATCACAAGCTGTTCTTTCAACAGGTTCCTGGCCTCACTCATTGTACAGAATAGACTGTGCTCACTAAGTAATAATTTTATTTTCTCCTCGCTGTTCACTGTGTGGCCTGTGCTTTATTTACAGCAGACTATTCAAATATTGTTCTGAAGACAGATTTATTCATTTCCTCCCGAGCTTTTCCATGGGACTCATCACTATGGTATCCAAGTGCTTCACAAACTCTAATTCATTTTCTCAACACTGTAGCGAGAACTGGTGTTGCCCTTATTTTACAGGCGAGGAACTCGGGTGTACAGACAGAATAGTAAAAAATATCTTTTCATTTCAGAGATCCAATTAGAAATACTCAATGGCCTGATTTTGTCAGAAAATAGAACATGGCCAGGCATCTAATTGAGTCAGAAGTTGTAGAAATTCTCAGTTATTGCAGATTTATCTGCAAGAGTTCTTCATTTCTTCAAGTCAGGCTTCAAAATGTGAGCCCAGGCACTTGGGCAGTGCTGACTGCACAATCAGTGCAGCGCTGGGCAGGTCTGTTTAGGGACTGTGCTTTGCATCCCACAGATTCCAGAGGCTAAAAATCCTTTCTGGGAGCAGCACTCACCTGCCCCACCCACAGTGCTGTGCTTGCTTGCCCAGCAGTTCCTCACAAGGTGCATAAAATACCCACATCTGATTTTTGCAGTAAATGAGGTGGAAGTTGTTGAGGTGCTTGCCTGGGTTCTCTGACCTTGGTTCAGTGTCTGAGCCTGGCATATCCTTGTGCACTGGTTGCCTTTATCCTGGTGTTTGATAACTGGGGACTGTGTTACAGTGCAGCCTGAGTACTGTTGCTTTATTGAATATGTACTTCTTTCCCATGCAGAGATAACCCCAGTAATGTAATCCTGAGCTGACATCGATGCGGGCCATCAGCAATGTGGAAATTTCCCTCTGTGATGAGGGATGTCATGGCTGGCACAAGCTCCAGCACTCCAAGGGGGTGAGGTACATTGTCAGTGTATTTCAGGTACTGCTGACTGCTTTCCAGGTGGTGTGCAGTCCCATTCCCAAATCCTCACCTTTCTGCTCTGCCTCCCTCCCCCAGTTTGTGTCATTCCCATAACTACATCACTGTTCCAGTGAATTCCCTCTTCCCACAGGCCCTGTTGCATCCCACACCCAGCCTTGGGGTCCTTTTCCCAGCTCTTCCATCTGATTCCCTTTGCCCAGAGAGCTCTCCCTCAAACCTTGTCCAGAGCTCAGGGACAGCTCCCAGTCCTGCCAGGCTGCATGTCCTCCTCCCAGCAATTCTCCCATTTCCACTCTGGTTTAAAGCCTTCCCCCAGCCTGGCTTCCAGACTCCTTATGTGCTTTGCTTTATCCCTCCCTCCAGGCAGACCTGTTTTTCCTTCTGGCTGCTCATTCCCTTTCACCACCCTGGAGAACCTGTCTCTCTCTAGAGCCTCTGTGCCTGCCAACTTACCTGTCCCAGCCCCAGTTCCTGTCCCCAGTGTGTGTTTTTCAAGGAGCTTCCTGCTCTGTGTTTCCCAAGAAGACTGGAAGGACAGGTCTGCCCTTCCTACCTGCAGACATGGCATGGTCCAGAGCAGCCAGGAACTGGAGCTGCAGGTCCAGCTCTGATCCCACAGCCCTGGGCTGTGCTGAGGATGGAGCTGCTGGGGAGTGGGAGCACCAGGAAGCCCCTGCCAAGAACCAGCAGGATTTCAGGAGGGTTTTCATAGCAGGGTTTGAGGGAACACCTCTGACAAAGTGACCACTCTCATTTTCAGGCTAGAAAATCCCTGACAGAAGGAACAGAAGGAGAAATGTTTATAATCTAACCCAAGGTATGAACTTCAGATGCCTAAATTTCAGCACAGTGGTTAGTCTGGCCCTATTAAATGCGACTGAGGGCAGGATTTTATGATGGGAATTGCTAACCAGCTTTAATAGGAGTTACACTACCAGTCCTGCCTTTTAATCACCGCTTCCATTTTCAGGATAAATTGCAGCTGGTTGCTGGTAATCCTTGTGGCATATCAGATAGCAGCATAGCTCGGCAAGGGTAAGCTGGAGAAACCCAAACATCCTTCTGAGGAGGTAATTATTCCATTGTGAAAATGCCCCGGGATATTTTTAGTGGCCAAACCCCCTGTTTCCTGACAGAAACATAAAATAATGAAGCAAGCTTCACAAGGAGAGACGCCTCAGACACCTGTATTAGCTGGTGCTTTGCAGTCACGTCAGCGTTTAATTCGCTGTGTGCATCCCTGTACGGCAGAATCCACACCTGCGTTTGGGGCACTGAGCGCTCTGCCAGCCTCTGCCTCGCACAAAACCCTCTCCATAAACAAATCTGCAAATCCTGCTGGATCAAGAAGAATTTCACGGGAATATAGAGCTGCCTGCAACAAGAGGGACACCCTTGCCACACACACCGAGGTTATCAAGGGAAACTTTCCTTAACAGGAGTCTCACAACCAGCGAAAAAGCCTGGATTTTTGGAACAGAAAATTTAAAATTCGTTGTTAAATGTTTTGCAACGTGTTTTGCAGGGGAGGTACCCATGTTTCATGTCCTGCGGGTCTGGCTCTGTCCTGGTTACCTCCAGCCCCGGTCCCATGTAATTTATGTCCTGAATGAGACGATTCAATTAGTCAATAATAAAATAAGCAAGGACACCGTGTGCATTGTAAAAATATAATTTAGTGGGAAACAAGCTGAGATGGAAAAAATATCAGGGTACGCTCCATATGATTAATGAAGGAGGAACGTATATTTATAGTTTTTATTGTGTCCTTTCTAAGGAGCCTGGATGTGGCAGTAGGGCTGGAACGAGCTGGTAACGATGCGGCATTCCAGCGATTTGGATTTGAATGGCAAATGCTGTATAAAACTAATTACCCCCGGGAGGATGAAAATATATCGCATTTGCCTTTTCGGAGCATGTCTGGCCTTTTCTTCACGTTATTTATCTTTGAGAAGCATGTTTACTGGGAGAGGCGGCATCCCGAACAGAGCAGCAGAGTCGCTCCCAAAGAAAACAAGTTTCCGCAAGTTATTTTTCTGCATTTAGCTCCATTTCGGGTTTCTGGGCGGCTCTGGATCGCTGGTAACCAGCACCATGGCAGAGCAGGGCTCCCTCTTCCCACACCCTCCGGCTCGCCACATAGCGGGGATACCCGGATTGGTGCCGAACCGTCTGGTTTTCCATGTTTTTATGTGTGGAAAACGCGCAGGTCTCGCACTCATGCTGGGTTGGTTCAGAAGAGGGGAAAACATGGATTTATTGCCTTAAAATCCACGAACTTTACGCACCGAACGCCTGAGGGGAGAGGAGGGGGGGGCAGAGCGTCGCCCCTCAGGAGAGGGCGGCGGCCCCGCCCCCCCGCGCGCGCACGCGCAGGCGCGGTGGCGCGCGCGGGGGGGCGGGCGCGCGCACACCTGGCGCGGGGGTCGGGGGCGGGAGGGGAGGAGCGCGCGCATGCGCGAGGCGGGGGCGGGCGGGAGGCGGCGCGCGCCCCGCGGGGTCCGTGTGAGGGAGGGACGGAGCGAGCGGCGGAGCCCGGCCCGCGATGGAGTGAGGGAGGGAGCGCGGCCGCTCCGCCCGCCCGCCGCTCTCCCTCCGCCGCCTCCGCGCAGCCCGCCCGGTAGGGAAGGAAGGCAGGAGGAGCCCCCGCCGGGGGAGGGGCTGGCGCTGGGTGCAGCCCGGCTGCCGGGCGCGGGGAGTGGAGCGATGGCGGCGCGGAGAGCCCGGCGGCTCCTCGGCTCCTTGTGCATCGCCCTTCTCTTCGCGCAGCCCGCACCGACCGGCGCCGCGGCGCGGAGCGGCTCCCGAAGCCTCCTGACGGGTAAGAGCGCGGCGAGACCCCGGCGGCGGCGGGCGCGGAGCTGTGAGGGGGCGCGGAGGGGTCCGGGGGGCGGCGGGGCCCGGGGGGGCCCCGGCAGGGCGAGCGGTGCCGAGGGGCTGAGCCCGCTCCGCTCCCCCCGTGCGGGCACCAGCAGGGGCCACTGCGAGCCTCGGGGAGCGGCGGCGGTGCCTCCCCGCGAACAAGGGACATCTGGAGCCCCGTCTGCGGCGGATTGAGCGCTTCACCCACCTGTGCTCCCGGCTCGCTGGTACCGGGGAGGGGAGCCGGGCACACCTGAAGGGAATCAGCCTTGCACGTCACCGGTGAGGGGAGAAGCGCACACCTGAGGGGAATCAGCCTTGCAGCTCACCCGTGAGGGGAGCCGGGCACACCTGAGGGGAATCAGCCTTGCCATTTACCCCTGAGGGGAGCCGGGCACGGGCGGGCTCTGCCCCGGCTCGGGAGGGCTGCTGGAAGCGGCACGGACTCGGTACCGGCAACCTGTGGAGAGAGAGGAACTTGCCTGGGAACTGCCGCAGTAGCCCAGAAATGAGCGGTCTGGCAGCGTTTCAGCCGCGGTAGTTCTCACACCTTTTACCATTGTTGTCTTTAATGGTCCATGATTGAATCCTGGTTCTTTATAGGCTACGGAAAACGTAGTCTCAGCCAGGTGAGGCAGGAGAAGGCTCTCTCAAAAGCCCTTGCATGAGACCATTAATACCACAGAAGCCTCCTTAGCTTTGAAGCGATGTTATCTGCTCGTTATGCCAAATGCTGGCTTTAAAAAGTAACTTCTTTATTTCCTTCTTGCCAGCAATAAGCTAGTAGGATGCTTGAAAGAAAATCTGGTCTTGAATGCTGGGATTAAAAAAAATACCCCCTGTAGGTTGATTGAATCCTGGTATTTTAAGAGAGAGCTCTGTGCAAATGGAATATGGAAAAAACTGCTGGTCAAATTCGTGTTTTTTAGCAATTTGGGAAAGTAAGAATGGTTAAATTGTGACATTAAATGGTGTAATTGTTCTGTTTCAAATCATGTCAGGCAGAATCTTCCACGGTGGTTCTCATCTTGGACACCACTGATGGAACCATGTGAGCTGACTCCTGTTGATGGGAATATTTTTATTTATCCTCTTACACGGTACAAACTTTATAGATTCCAGGTCTGAAGTAGATTTTTTTTTTCTTTTGAAAAATATTACGGTTTGACTCAATCTGCAGAACATGTGTAACAGATAAGTTACTTTATGTGTAAAATCTTGCCACGTAGTGATTATTTTCTGATATTCCTGCTCTCCTGACAGCTCAGTGGTCTTATGGTTGTGTTAGTAGCTCTTTGCTAGTTTAAAATAATCTTTTATGGTTTGAGGAAATCAAATTACTAGGTGAAGTTCTGTCTGTTGGAGCCAAATCTGTGAATTGAGTCTGCAGAGGGGGGATGATGTGGAATAAAACCTTCATTGGAGCAGGAATTTAGGAGTATCAGTGTGGAAATCTTGGAAGTTCAGGTGAGCTCCTCCTCTCCATGGATGTGTCCTGTGGGATCCCTGGGGAGCACCAGGAGCTGGGCTTTCCCTGTCTGAGGGTGTGAGAGGAAAGGGAGAAAGGCTCTCTTAGCTCTTTGTCTCAATAAAGAGCATGTGTAGTGGATGGAGTTCATTTTAATTCCCACTATTTCCCATCTAATTGCCAGTAGTTTTTCTTAAATCCGGGGTGCTCCACATGCTTTTATATGGGCAGGTGCTATGAGAGGGACTTGGGTGCAGCTGTTCCATGGCATGAGTTCTCCTGTTGGAGTTCAGATGTGAGGGGCCAGTGCTGGCCTCTGTTCCATGCTCTGGGTGAAGCCTGATCTCTCCAGGATGCTGGAGGAGCCTCCTCAGGCTGATGCTGAGGGCTGGAGAGGCAGAGGAACACCAAGTTTGTAGGTCCAGGTGGAGCTTTGGCTGTGGGACCCACAGCTCTCCTTGCCAAGGCTGAAGTGCTGCTTGTATGCCCAGATCAGGGGGTTTTAATGCAAAAATAAAAAACCATGCTGGCATTTTGGTGTGGGTCAAAGTGCCATAAATGAGCAGAAGTTGCAGATTTGGAAGCTTGTATTCTTTGTATGGAGTCATGTGTGTTGGAGGGACATTTGATCCTGTTTATAAATAGCTCATCATGGCTCTCTGAAGAAGAAAAGAGTGCAGCTGGATTAGTTTAGGAGAAAACTGTATAACTTCATTTATTTGTGTGTCTGCAAACAGCAGTGTGTTTTCCACTGTAGCTGGTTGCTCTGCAGATAAGGCAAGATGAGCTGCTGATTTTGGAATTGGGACAACATTTCACTTAGTTGAGGGAATAAAACAAATCAGGAAGAAGCATCAAATTAAGCTAAATCCTGCCTCCTATAACTGTTTGTAACTGAGTTGAGATAAGCACAAAAACTTGGATCTATACAGATTGCATTATTAGAAATAAAAATGAAGCTGGTGTCACCTAATTTTTAATAGGAAAGCTGTGATAGCCTGTATACACCATTAAGATTGCAAATGAGATTATTCAGAAGCAGGAAATTTGTTCTGTCTCTCCCTGGTATTGTTGAAGTCCCTGGGATTGATATGTATTTTGTTTTTAGAGGACAAACTGCTGCTTTGGGAAGTCCCAGTGGAGCAGAGTTAGCAGCTGGGGGCCTGGAGCTGCAGGAGGAGCCCAGAGCTGAAGGGCTCTGTGAGCAGCAAGCTGGGAAGTGCATCCAGGTGCTGCTGCCTGGGATGCTCCTCCTGGGGAGCAATGGAGGGGATGGAGAGCTGAGGATGGCAGCACAGATCAGCTGGGTCCCTAGAAACAGCAGGTTGTCATTTGTTTCTGTTGTGTGTGTGCTGCTTGATTATTTCTAATTATATCCCAGGTTAAAAATAGAGCAGAAATATTCAGGTCTCGGTTACATCCCAAGTCAGTTAAGCACCGCTCTCCCTGCTTGACATTCCTGTTCCATATGGGCAGGTTGCATATGGCTTTTGCACTGCATGTTTATTAGTCAGCTAAGAGAATTACTTGACTGGCTTATGAAGCTTTCCTAATAAACCAACACTTCAGTTGCAGAGTTGTCAGGTGTGTGCACACCTGTGCCTAATGTTCATCATGGTGAAAAGCAGCAAACAAAAAGCGTCGTAAAAAAAAAACTTGGCTTGGTTACCTTGTGTTACCTTATCAGTGTGAGTAAGGAAGTTACCTATGGTAGATATTTCCTTATACAAATAAGAGTATTTGGTTGTTCCTGATGATAAAATGCCCTTGTGATTTACACGAGGTTAACCTTCAGCCAGAGATGGTCACAGAAGGCTGGAGACTCTGAAGGCACCTAACTGGAGTTTGTTGCATGGCCAAGAGAAGGAGAGTGATAATAAATGAGAGAGGAAATGAAGTGGGAGTTTAGGAGAACTACACAAGGAGCAGTGCAATATTCTGCTCAAGTTTTGCTTTCAAGCTATAAAAACATTTAACTTGGGTAAAATCAGCCTGAGCGTCACGGGGGCGTTTGAAAGTGAATTTTATTATCATCACCAGTGTCATGGAGATAATTAGGTGTGGAAAATGTGTGCCAGTGTTTGTAGCCAACTCTTCTAAGCATGCAGGGGTTTTATGGATGAAGGATGTTTAA